TACATATTCATCTTTAATAAAGTTTGACTATTAATTCAATTAGGTCCAACTAATTATATGGTCCACAATAATAGAATAAAATATTATTACACTACTCACACAAAAGTCTGTATTTTATAATATGTTAAATCAATACGGCTACTCTTAGACACTCTGTTAACGATTAGACAACCATACTCTTATAAAAAAAAAAAGATGTGCAAACTTTTAAGAAAAAACATCATAATCTAAAAATCAATAAACATAAAAAAAAAGTATGACATTTCATAACGTCATAATCCATTTGTTGCAAAGGTATTACATATCAGTTAACCTGCCTAACTATTAGATAAATATTTATCTTATTTTGATTATAGTAATTGTATGTTAATTCCTTTCTCTCCATTTTTCTTTTTATTTATTTTTTATTTTTTCAGACATTTTATGATAAGATTATTGCAAAAATGTTTTCTTTATACCGGTTCTAAGTTTTGTTGTGGCTTATCTGGCGAACCGGCCGGCCCGACCCAACCCGCTAGACGATAAAACCACCCCTAATTGGCGCGAAGGAAAAAAATGAAAAACTAATAAACAAATTGAAAATCCTACCTTCATCTCTCACATTTGGCTACCTTTTCCTTTCCCTTTATGTTTTCTGCGCTTATGCTTATATAGTTTTAGTAACCTGAGTTATCTTCTCATAATAATCACGCTTCCAACAGCTCTCTCTCTCTCTCTCTCTCTCTCTCTCTCTCTCTCTCTCTCTCTCTCTTTCTCACACACACATTAAAACACTGTACAAAACCTCAGACGCTTTACAGTATCATCTTTTGGGCATTCGACTTTTCCCCTGATTTTCAGCCCTTTACCTCTTCTTACTGTTTTTTTTCGCAGAAAAGAAGTAAAGTGTGTAGCTTTGAGCGCGCTTATACGTGGGCTGTTCTTGTTTGCGTTTGTGCTGTGGCTATTTATTTGGGATGCCCATTATTCTAACATCATTAATCTTTGAATCCCATCTAATCTCTTTTTGGGTACAGTAGATAAAGTTTCAATCTTTTTCACATTTTTTCTGTCTTTTCTATGTTTTCTGTAATGTTTTTGTGTATGATTACTGTAATGATTTTGTATACATGGGCTGCTGTTCGTGTTTGTGTTCGTGCTGTGGCTATTTGTTTGGGGTGCCCATTATTCTAACATCATTAATCTTTGAATCTCATCTAATCTCTTTTTGGGTACAGTTAGATAAAGTTTCAATCTTTTTCACATTTTTGCTGTCTTTTCTATGCTTTCTGTAATGATTTTGTGTATGATTACTGTAATGATTTTGTATACTTGGGCTGTTCGTGTTTGTGCTTGTGCTGTAGCTATTTGTTTGGGATGCCCATTATTCTAACATCATTAATCTTTGAATCCTATCTAATCTCTTTTTGGGTACAGTAAATAAAGTTGCAATCTTTTTACCAATTTTTTGCAGAGCTTGAGCATAAGAAAAAATGTCGAAGCCAGGGGCCGATCCATCGCCACACCCGCCGAAAGAGCAGCTTCCTAATGTTCACTACTGCATAAGCAGTCATCCTCCATGGCGTTAGTATTTTTAAAGATATATTATTTTTTTCGGTTAATTTCGTTATTTATTTGTTTTCTTGAAAATTTTGAAGTTATAGAGATGGTGAATTTATAATCATTTTGTTAAGTAATTGTTTCTCCCATTCCCTTTCTTGTTTTGGTTATAGACTCTGTGCATATGTGTGTTAGCATGTGTTTCATGATTCTGTACATGTTTGTCCAATTTCTTGTATATTGATGAAATTTAAGATCACATATGAATTTTCTGAGCTTCTCTTAAGTTAGCTTTTGTTTTGTTCTCTTCTTTTATGTAGAAATGATCTCTTTTTCAGTTTTTTTGTTTTTTTGTTCTATCTGTTTTGCTACTGCTTACTGAAAACTATGTGATTTCACTTCAATCTATGTTAACTGCATTAGTGCCTTCAGTTTGGATGTAGTGCAATGCATAAAAAAGCAATCTTTTCTCTTTTCACTAGATTTTAGTTATTTTGATTCTATACAAATTGTAATGATGTTGTCTTAATGTTTGTGATTGCAGCTGAAGCTATCCTTCTGGGATTCCAACATTATGTGGTCATGCTCGGCACAACCGTCATGATTCCTTCGGCCCTTGTTCCTCAAATGGGAGGAGGAAATGTAAAGCCTATTTTCTGAAAATACAATTTATTTTTCATCAATCTTCATAATCACTTGCCTTTTTTTTTCCTTCAGGAGGAGAAAGCAAGGGTTATACAGACTTTGCTGTTTGTTTCTGGACTAAATACGCTGTTACAGTCATGGTTCGGAACTCGTTTGCCTGTAGTGATTGGAGGATCTTACACCTTTGTGGCCCCCACAATCTCGATTATCTTGTCCGGAAGATGGAACGATCCGGATCCTATATCGGTTTGTGTTCTTGATCCTATTTCTGTTATCTAGTGAAATTTTTACAAACCATGTAGCTCGAGAAGACTTAATTTCGTTGGAAAAAAAGTAGAATGTCGGATTCTAATTTTTCTTATGCATAATTTGATCAAGATGAAAAAAAAAAAAAAAAACTTGGGAATAATATGCTTATTGGCCTCTATAAGTATGCATACACTAGTAACAAAAAAAATTTCGCATAGTAAAGTTAATAACTGCAAAAATGGTTCTTGCAGAGGTTCAGGAAGATAATGCGGGCCAGCCAGGGTGCATTAATCATTGGCTCGATAATTCAAATGGTCTTAGGCTTCAGTGGGCTTTGGCGTAATATCGCAAGGTTTGTTTGTTATCACTCGTAATCATAGCGAACAATATTTTACATCTACGTGTCGTTTATTTCTCATGCTTGTGCTATATTGTTTACACTTTACAGGTTTTACAGTCCTATTTCAGTTGTTCCTTTGATTGCCCTTTCGGGTTTCGGGCTGTATGAACTCGGTTTTCCCGCTGTACGGCCTTTTCTAGCTATATACACAACTGAATTTGAATAAAATACAAAACATTACCATTAAATCTAATTATATATGTTTCCTTGACTGTGTAAGGTTGCTAAATGTGTGGAGATTGGATTGCCTGAGCTCATCCTTATTGTGTTCTTTACTCAGGTTTTACTGAAGTCGAGCTTTTTGCTTTTTACGGTTTTACTAAGTTACTTTTTCAGCTAAAATTATTGATGTTGTATATATTTATTGTGTTAAATGCAGTATCTACCGCAAATGACAAAATCGGGAAAAATTGTCTTTGAACGGTTTGCAGTTCTTATTACTGTGGGAATTGTGTGGCTTTACGCACATTTACTTACTATCGGTGGAGCTTACAATCGAGCTGCAGATAAAACGCAAGCAATGTGTAGAACTGATCGAGCCGGGCTTATTGATGCTGCTCCTTGGTGAGCCTTAAATTTTTTGCTTAAATTTTTAGTAAATAGAAAAATGGCTTCTTATCTAAAAAAGCTCAGTTTTTTAATGCTGTTTTGACGTGCAGGATAAGAATACCGTATCCTTTTCAATGGGGGGCACCTTCGTTTGATGCTGGCGATGCATTTGCCATGATGATGACTTGTTTTGTTGCTCTTATAGAGGTCGATTTTTATTTTTTTTGTCATTAATCCTATATATATACTTTTAAAGAAAAGGCGAAATCTTTACGTGTTTTCCTCTGTTTTTTGCAGTCGACTGGTGCGTATATAGGCACTTCTCGCCTTGCAAGTGCAACCCAAATGCCACCTTCGATCCTCAGTCGAGGCATAGGCTGGCAGGTAAAAAATATATTATATTTCTTATGATTTTTTCCTTATTTATTATTTTGAAAATATTATTATCATTTGCATATCATGATTTGTGTTTTTTGTCACTTTTTTTTCTTTAACATTATACGCCAGGGTGTCGCGATCTTGTTGTCCGGGATGTTTGGAACTGCGAACGGATCATCTGTATCAATGTAAGAACTCATCAGAATCCAATGTCTGCATTGATTAGTTTTTCTTTACAAGATTTCATATTTTTTAATGTTAAAGATAAAGTAAAAATTTCCTTTTGTGTGGATTAATTCAACTGCAGCGAAAATGCTGGCTTAATCGGACAGACACGTGTCGGCAGCCGAAGGGTCGTGCAGATATCTGCTGCATTCATGATCTTCTTTTCTATTCTTGGTATATTATCGGAACTCGATTCTGTATTTCATTTTATTTCTTTACTGTTATTTTCATCTTTCGGAACTTCTTTTTTCCACTACAGGGAAATTCGGAGCAGTTTTTGCTTCGATCCCGTCATCGATTATGGGTGCATTGTACTGTATATTCTTCGCCTATCTCGGTGAGTACTCGGTTAATTTCCTTTTTTCGTAGTCTGTTATTATTCGGCGAACATTATTTTTTACTTTCGTTTTCGACAGGTG